AAGCAGATTGGCCCCATGCCTCATCTGAAGGCTAAAAAAAAAAAATGGTATTTTTAATTCTGAAGTGCCACTGTCTCTTTCTTTTTACGTAAGTGTATAGATAGATGGCTGCCGTGTGAACAGCCAGCTCGAATGCAAGAGGTACCTCAGCTCCCATTCCCTGCAGGCAGAGCCTCCATTTCTCTGTTTTCAGTGGGTTTAAATAACAGAAATGGCTGAAAAGGCTGTATTTTTATTGGCTACTTAAATAACAGTAATTGTTAAATTAATTTTGCCTGACTCCAAACGGCCATTAAAGTCTGGTTTTGTGGCAAGCTGTACTAGACCACCACGCACCTCTTTTTAAGGTTCCCTTGCTGCACGCAAGGCACTTCCCAGGCAGTTGAAGATGCATTGCCCCTTTTCTGTTCAAGCTTCCCAGATTCTGGGACAAGTATGTCAAGTAAAGCTATTTTGATCAATTCAAATTCCCTTTTTGGAAGGCATCCAAGGCAGTACTCTGTACACTTAGTGTTGCACAGTTGAGATCGATTTTTGTTCTTTTCCTCTTTCCATGGACTAATATATCAATTTCCCTTTTGCCAACTAACTGTATAGCAGCGTCTGTAAATCACAGTAGAAGTGGCGTGCTCAACGTGAGGAGAATTTGAGGAAGCTCCTTCAAATTTAGTAAAAAAAAAATTAAGCACCATGTCCTTAGCATCCTGTGGATACTTAGATATGGACAGGCATGAAATAACATGCCTATGTTATTGCAGCCTGAATCTTGAAGGCTCCACATCCCTGTATAATGTAGAAAGCCTGCAGCAAGGGGAATACTAACTACATGAAATGGCAGCAGTTCCTGAACTTCATACCACAAGGAACTGACTTGCTGGTTGGGTATTAAACATTTGTGGGTTGCGCTTTGAAATCTCCTATTAGAGGCTGAAGTCTCTCAGAAAATCATAGGTAGCTCTAGGTCTGCATCTGCAAAAGCGTTCGTAAAAAAAAAAAAAAAAAGTAGGTGCTTCAGACAGATATCCTTGGTAACTAGCATTTACTCTACTTGATAGAAAAGGGACTTAAAAACTAGAATATGCTGAGGTGATTGTGACTCTTGACCTTGCAGGTTCAGAAAAAAACTGCAGAGGACACGCAGACCCCATGCAATATGAAATGTTTACTGGTATGTGTTTTATCTAAGCCAAACCACCTTTTCAGAGGAACTTCCCTGTGCTTCATCTTGTAGCTTCCCCTGCCTCCTGCTCCCCTTCCTTGGTTAAAAGTCAAAAACTGGTTAGGTTGATTCTTGCTATTGAAAATCTAGTCAAAATTAACAAGTTGGTAATGGCCCATTGCACATAAAAACCTAGCAAAATACTCCACAGCTTCAAGGCTTTATATAAAATAAATTGGATGCAGGCGCATTCTTCACCATCCTCTTAAGCCTGCCATCTGTGCAGACTAAAAATAAAGCAGCAGCTTAAGGAGAGGTTTGATAAAATGCATCCGAGAAATGCATTGGTAAAGCTGTGCCAGGCTCTTAAAATGACTTTGAGAAGCTAACTGCGTGCTGCGGAGGGGCTCTTCATCACTCTCGTTATTCAGGCAGCCTCTGCGTGACCTGCTCCATGGGTAGGATAACTCCATCGTCTTGGAGAGATGCTGGATGGCGATGGCGAATTAGCCTTCAAGAGCTCTTTCTCCATGAGAGCAAAGTTGCTGCAAACTGGCAGGAAAGGCAGATCCAATTCAGACAGTTTATTCAGTGAGTAAAAAGAAGGCAATTACCTACCTACAATTAATGCGAGATGATCCTCAGGCACAAACTGGGACTAACGTACGCATGTAGGGAAATCCTGTCAGTCTGTGTGACACAAAACTTTCCTTCCACTCTCTCAACAGCCACTAGTGCCCTGCAGTCAGGGATTTAATGCAGCTGCGGTTTCTGCCATACTAATGTGGCAATGTGGGACAGTCAAGGGTATCTCATGTCTCTGAGAACTTCTCCACCTCCCATGTAACTGCTTCTCAAACTATGTCCTTCTCATTATTGTCGCTAGCAATTATTACAGAAATAGGAAAATGAAATATTATAAAATACTAGAAAATATTTACATAGAAAATATTTTGAGTGTTCTTAGTATGTGCTTAATTGTAATTAATTTAGAAGAATGACACTCAGAAGTGTAAAATCATCAATTGATTAGATGGTGAATAAAATCAGTGCTGCTGCTGCCTTCTGTCAGCTGAAGCCCCAGCATGCTTCGGAGCAACAGTGGGATTGCATTAAGAAGCAACATGATGAATTCAAGGTGCCAGGAAAGTAAATGGCTCACCCAAAGTCAGACAGTGAATCAGTAAGACATCCATTAACAGAAATTAATGGGCTTGCTTGCTGCTCACATTAGTTACCCACGAGGAGGGCTGAGCCAGCCCTTCTGATGGTAAACGCAGATAGTTTGGGGTGGGTTTTTCCAGCAGCATGTGCTTTGGATAACTTGAGCAATTACTGCTGATGAGTAAGAGTGATGTTAAAACTTAAAGACTTGACTACATCTAATCTCATAGTAGCAATAGTGCAGTCATAACACTGCTACCTAAATATACTTGACAAGATATTAAATCAATCTAGTATAGAACATCTTGCTCCACTGCAATAGCGAGATTAGCAGTTGAGAGATGAAACTTTCTCCATTAGGTGAGGGAATCCATGAACAACCTCCCAAGACTTAATACCCATAATGTTGCTGATGGCGTCACCTAATTTGTTCTTGAGTAACTCATTTCCTCCTCCAATCTCACTCTCTGACACAGGACTGCAGTATTTTCCCCGTGCTGCCGTTCGTGAAGATTACCCGCAGCAAGTTCACACACGGTGCCATTTCTTCTTTCCCTATAGAGCTTTTTGCTCCCTGCTAGAAGCTCGGCTCTCACCAGGCAGCGACTTGTGGCAACCTCCTCAGGGCTGGTTTGTTTGCCTTTTGGCAGCGCTGGCAGCGGCAGCAGCCCCCATCGCCAGACCTTGCAGCCATACCCTACATGCCTTCACCCCAAAAAACCCATCAAAAGCCCTTAGCGTGGCTGCTGCCTCCTGCAAAGGGGCTCATTGCCCATGCTGGTCCCCTCAAATCTGCCTTTAGCAGCATAAAGCTTTACTAAGGCCACCCTCCACCCCTTCTAGTGCGGAAAGCCTACCTGTACGTGTGCGTTTTCTTCTCAAGCAACCATTCTCTCTTACCGCATTTTAAGACTCATGGCAGCGAGCTCTGAAGCTTTGGATTTCCTGTTAATATAACAGCATTAAAGAATAAGAAAAAGGGTCTTAAGATTTTCTTTCTTAGCACTTCCAGCAGCGCATCAAGTGTCAGATTCTCAGAAAAGATCAGGATTAGAAACTGTAAAATACGGGCTTGCGTAGGCAGCAAGGCAGGACACCTTTCTGCAGCTGAGGCTTACACGAGCAAAGCTTTGGGAAGCACTTGACCTAAGGATCCCTGTCACGAACAAGAGCAGAACAGCTTTGAAGTGATGTAAAAGTTTATTCGACCATAACTGATGGCAGTCTTTTCAAGAGCACTCAACGTCCTGCAGCCATCAGTATCCCCAAAAGCCAGGAGCAAATCTCACCAAAACCACAGCTCACCGGTATTTTTAGCAGAAGTAACAGGCACATAAAACAAAAGGCAGAACAGATCCTGATGCCAAGATGTTTAAAAAAAAAAAATTAAAACAAAAGCATCTCTCCTTTAAGTTCACCTGATGTCTAATTTTGATCTAAATATTTCCACATGGGAGTAGGAGTAAAAGACAAAGCAAGTGGGTTTCTGAGGAAGGGAAGTATGTGGAAGGCAGCAGCAACCTAGAAGGACGTAGGTGCCCTTCACAACAGCACCCAGCATCATGCAGCAGCTCCCTGTAGGAAGTATGATTCGTTGTATGCAAGCTGATCCCAGATAAGCTTGAGACAAGATGAACTACCCATACCAGACTAAGCAATTTAAAAACAAAAAAATATTCCATGCAAATGGTTCAAAAAGTTTATTGAATATTTAATTTACAAAAATCATATCCCTATGAGGTGTTCTATGCAAAATTGGATAAAATAAACTGCATATAAAACCCAACCCTAGTAATGCAAATACAACACAGAAATGAGGCCATGGAAAGGAAAAAAAAAAATATATATAATCATGACACACATATGACATTCATTAAGGATTGTCCCAACCATCCAAGAATTGGTTCAACATGATGCCTTCTTCCTAGATACATTATACATTTTACCATTTAAAACAGGCCTTCTGTATTCTGTTGGTCCAAATTTATGGTTTATAACAATTCTTTGCATTCTTTCTTTAGCTACTACACCAGTTCTGCCATTCCCATTTTGATCAGAAGGTGGAAACAGACAGTACATACATTGAACACGTGCACTATTAGATGCAACTTGCTATCTTTGGTAGGGACCCTAAATCTGCAGCAAAGTCAGCTTTCTATAACGACAAGAATTTCAGTTTCGGTTTTGGCAAAGAACAGGTTTAATTTTGTTGTTTAGTAGAACATTACTGGCAGTTTCTGTTGAACATACAAAAAGTATAGTTGTCTCTTGCATGGTTTAAAAATGGAGATAATTCATATGGGTTTTAATTCTAATTACTTGTATTTTAACATTCCTTGACTCAAATATGGTTACATAAAACATCATTACTGCACAGCAGGCCATTCCTTGTAAGAACAAGGGATGTATTGCACACAGACCACAACTGCAATTCCATCCTGCCTTTTTTTTCTCCCTTTTAAAGCAATAAGACTATTCCTGCAGGTAGTCACACAGATTTGGATGCCAGTTTCCCTTTGAACAAGTAGGAATTTTGCTGAGTGACTCAACATTTATATAGTAAGTTTTCCTGGGAAAGAAGAGGGTGAAACAAAAATAAAAACTAAAGAAATTTGGGACAATCAGTGCTAGAGTGTTTGCAGCCCTCCTCTGGAATAACATGGATAGGAGGAGCATGATCAGGAAAAAAATAATTAGAAAAAACCCCAACAAACAATGCAAGAGCCAAGGAACTTCACTTTAAGAGAGAAGGAAAAAGTAACCAGACTGTTTCCTCCGTAACATTAATATTCCATTAATATTGGACAGTATTTGATTAACTGCCATTAGCTGCAACTTTCAAGCATTCTCTTTGCTTTTTCAAGCACTATCTGGAAAAAAAAGAAAAAATTATGCACCTCCCCAGTCCTCCCCACTCCCGCTTAGTGGAAATGCAAATAACCTGCATAGCCATGATTTTCTTAGCTGAAAACATTTAGTGGAAGACTATCTAGACTTAAACACTAAGTAAATCTGCTCACTTATGAGTAAAACATGCAATATTACAACAGACAGCTAACTGTCCTCGAAAAGGCTTTTTATGACAATTGCTAATTTGGCAGAGAAGAAATGTTTCCAAATGCATGAAAATAATCTTAAGAGCCTTAGTGAAGAACATAGTTACAATATATTAGCGATTTCTGTGGCATAAACATTTTAAAAAGCATCAGCAAAGTATTAAATATAAAAGCAATATGTATATACCCCCTCCATCCTCAGAAAAGCATCATGATTTGTAGTGTATTAAGTCAGATTTATTGACTGGGGAATTAAGGCATAACCAGTAGACAATAGTCTTTATTGTCTCAGCTCCACATAATTCGCAGGGAACAACCCGTATCGGCCTTTGCAGACACCCCTCCACCAGCCGTCATCAATCATTTCTATGTTTGTGATGATGTCATCTGGGTCAAAGGAAATCTCGTCATCACCCGCTGGAGAGAGAGTTGAAGAGGCTCAGTATTCGCACAAGAGCAGTTCACATTGCAATCTCACCTACCAACCCACCAGCGCTAAAAATAACACAGACGCCCATCACCTTCCTCTCTCCCATCAGGGCATTTGAAACAGGGCACTGGGCAATGACAGTCGGAAAAGACGGACACTTTCTCGTCCTCTAGAGTGACGAGGTAGTCGGTTCTTACCTACTGCATTTTGGGTGCATTTCTAACTTAGAGCAACAATTGCTACCAACACACCGAGAAGCACTTTACTTTCTTGATCTCTCCTCAGAATTAACCAGCCACAATTTTAAACAACTATGTATGCCAAGGGTTTAACAAGAGTGTTAATACTTGCTTAAAAAAGATTTTGAAAACTCCCACCATTTCCAGAAACAGTGGCTAGTAGTTTTCAAAAGTGTCTCAATGCTATTGCAAAATCACTAAATTCCTAATCCTTCATATCTTCATTTTGTATGTTACTGTAAGAGACTACAGGATGAAAGGCAAAGGAGAAATACAGACTTATCTGTGCAGAACAAAGACAAGGATAAAAACAACAGCTTTGCTTACCAGCTTGATAATCATAAAGGGCTATGGCTGTAATTCCAAGTTCATTTTCGTATTCATCATAAGCATTTTCTTTGTGAGAGAGAGAGAGAGAGGGGAGAAAAATTAAAAGCATGAAGCACACTACCTATCACCCTGAGTTCTTTTCTGTGGTAGTCCCCCTTTAATTCTAGCGCTAACTCACATAGGAAGCAGGGAACAAACTATGCAAGTTTTTAGCAGTGCTGACATTCCTTCTGAAATGGATTTTTTTCCCTAAAAAAAAAAACAATTAAAGCCTGAGAGGAAGTGTTCACAAGTAGGCATTTAACACAGTACAAAATAAAAACAATCAGCCTTATCACACTTTTGTAAAATGTGACAGAACAACTGAGCCCAAGATCACTCTTTAAGAGACTATTCAATACAAGCTAAGTGTGTGTGTTGGGGGACAGGGGATAAAGGGGCCTGTTTAAAATTCCCAGGTTTTCATACCAGAACAAGCAGGTTCATTCTTCACACCTCATTCAGTAACCAGAAGAGGTGAGAAAAACAGGAATTCAAAAGAACCTTATTCTTGCACTTTCATTAGTTTCAGACATCCTTATTCCACTCCCTTGTAGGCACAGAACACATGAGGTCCATTTCAAAGTCCCAAGAATTGTTTACAGAATTTTTTGCTTTGTAGGCCAGCACCAGCTCAACACACAAAATCTCCATCTCTGTGCTTTCTTTTCAAGTTGAGCTGCATTACACAGTGTGGAAATGGTTACCCCTACGTTTCTTTTTGAACTGATACTCTAGAGAGCACTGTAATTATTCCAATATCATCTCACATAATTTAAGTAATTTCAACCTTGCTCTAGCCATACCTTAATTTCCTAATTAAAGTTTGTTGGTGGAGAATCTAAACAGTCTCATCAGACTATGACTTTAGAGAACTAGGACAGTGCGCTATCAGCACAACTATTCATAAAGTTGTTGCCCAAGGAAATAATCTTTATCTTAAAGGGTTTCATATCAGAAACAAACACTCTACCTGCTTGGTAATGGTCTCCTGCCCCTGCTACTTCATAGACCGTCTCTGTTTCATATTCTGCCTCTCGCTGACTCACTGCTTCTTGGTAGTCTGACTCTGCAGCTTTGTAGCCGGACTCTGGCTCGCGCACAGCTGAATACGCTGCACTGGAATTCTTGAAGGCAGAATCTGCTTCATAGGAAACTGCATCCTGCAGAAATACAGGTGAGGTTCATCAGGGTTTTGTAAAAAGGTTCCTAACGCTTAGGATCAAAACCCAGGTACTGAAAGAGGATTCTAACAAACCTCATAGACTGGGCTTGAGGGTGCCTTCTGCTCAGCTGGCTGTGTGGTAGGAGATGGTGGTGGAGTTTGTTTTTTGGCTTTAGCTTGTTCCTAAATTGAAGAGAAAGAAAAACTTCATTGCAGCTTAATCACTGATGTCTTGACATTGAACAAGAAACAACCCTCCAGGAAGAAAGACAGACAGCACATTCTGCAACAAACTCATGCGAGCAGGGAGCAGAAGAGAACTGGACTGGCTGGATCGTTACACCTGCCTGAAGGTTTAGACTGGCTGTGCAGTAAAGGCTCAGAAATACAGCAAAGCAGAAGAGAAAAAAGTGAAGAAACAAAAACTGCACGGTATGTATGCATACATGTGTTTAAAAACAGAGTACCCAATGTTCTTTGGCACATTTCCATAGAAGCTGCAGGGTTTCTGTGTTCAATATATTAATTCTGTTCATTAGCTGGCTGGGCCTCATGTCCCATTTTAGCGTAAGTTTAGAGAACGTGAAGCCTGCATGTTCTAATTATACAACTGATCTATTATCTTTGATGAGAAATGATCCTGCAATATCTTGCAGGTCTGCAAAACACCTGCCAAGGCAAAAGACTGAATAGCTTAGACAAAATTAAGTCCTATATACTGACAATGAGGGGATTCAAATGTTCAGAAGAGTTATATGTGGTAGAAATAAACGCAGTATCGCTATTGTATTCTGCAACACAAAGAACATGGATCTGAATCAAATGTTCTGGCACTCAAGCACTTCATGCTGTGCCATCCCACCTGTGAATCAGAGGGCAAATCCACAATCAATTAGGAAGCCAGGATACTGTAGCGCAAGAAATGCTACGTTGCTTGCATGACTTAAAAAAACCCCAAAAGCCTGTAAGCTAGCTATTTAATTTTGCCTCTCTTTATCATAGGGAAAAAGAAAACTGTGGATCTAGGGCCAAACCTTCTTCTTTATTGTAAAAAAGAAGAGAGAATACATGTTGTAGGAGACTGTGCGCTCCAGTTGTTTAGGTCCATCAAGCTGTAACTCCCCAAAGGATCTTCAGGAGAAACTGTAGTCCAGAGATGAAGCAAAAGGGCTCTGTTACAAAAATATTCTTCCTTTCCTTTGTTTGTCACAGCTCAAAAAAAATACATCTAACAAAGAAAGCAAAGTGTGTCTTGAGAACAGAGCCAGCTTTGAAGACAATTCAAAGCTTAGTGCTGTACTTTCTGTAAAAAATCTGTCCTGATGTGAACAGTCCTCCCCAACTTTTAACTCCTGTGCTACAGATAAAAAAGCACCAGCAGTGTGTTTATTAGAAGTCAAATCTAAGTTTGGGGACAAATTAAGTAGTATCAGTCCATTAACAACGTCAAACATGACAACAGTTTGAAAAATTTGTCCTAGGTAATGGGTCTCTGCAATCCAGACTACAGTTTAGGATAGCCACAGCATAATTGCCATAAAACATTTAAATTGCACAGTCCCCCCTCAGGCTGGGTTTCTTCCACACTGAAACGCTTCCTGTGAAAGGGCATCCTGCCTTGTTCTCTAAGGTAGCAGAAGCTAGCTAAATCGAGGCACCCGTTGATTCAAACCAGCAGTTAGAGAAGAGCTCCCTGCACGCCATTTGACTATGTGACATGTGAAAAGCAAAACAGAAAAACGATTACCAGTAAACAGGTTCTTGAAGGAATGCAGTCCATATGTACATTCCCATTGTGGGAGTACACATGCCCACATACTTTCTTAAAGTGAGAGAACTTTCTGTCTGTGCAAGGAAGTTCACTTAAAGAAATAAAGTTCACTTAAGTCAAAGTCCGTCCCCACCCTTTACAGTATCTGTGGATGGTGTGCTTACATCCCTCCCTCCCCTTTTCACGCTCAGCTCGTGACTGAGGGGCAGTGCAGCCAGTGCCATTTCAGTTTCCCCTTAACCTCGTCCTCCCTCCCTCAGTGTCTGCAGAATCACACAATTAACTATGGAGATGCTCAGTCTGGAAGAACATTAATCATCTGGTTATGGTGAAATTTAAATACCAGCTTTCAAAAAAAACTTCGGAAGTGTCCAGGCAACAGAATCTTTGATGAAGCACAAGAAAAATCAAGCATAACGGCTTGAATTTAACCCACACTTACAACAAAAATAACGGTAAAGAAAGTCAGTCATTTCTGAGAGAGAAAGGGAGGGGGGGAAGACATAACAGTTCAATGACTCATGAAAACCTGTGTTACTACATTTAAACCCTTCTGAAGAGCTGTTTCCTCAGCAGGAGGAAACCTCAATGAAAAGCTGAAATGGGTAACAAAAGCCTAAATTCACCACCCTCCATCCACAGATCTTACTTAGGAGCATAGGATCATTCAAAATGACTGGCAAGAGAGCTAATGGAGAAGCTGAACTTCTTCCCCCCCTCAGCCCAGACTATAAACGCATGCAGAAAGCCTGGCTACTTCGGCAAGATACAGATGACCAGTCATCTCCTCCTTACTGGTTAAAAAAAAATTATTCCAACTAGGTTGGTATAGGAATAGTCTAATGAAGAGCCATTCAGCATCCATAGCATGAAGTGGATTATTTCAAGATTGAGACAAGCGAGACAGACAAACTGTTATACAGGTCAGACTGAGAGAACTGAAGAAGTCACTGAAAGGCAAAGGCGGCCCAGTACCAAAATGCACAGGACAATGAGAGCCAACAGGATGATGTCCTGCCTTACCCTAACCACAGCGCTTGGCAGCAGAGGCACCTGGAGAAATGCATACACCAGTCCACTCGGCCAGTCTCAGGGTTATACCTGAGACCAAGCCTGGACACAAACCTTCTTTCAAAAAGAAGCATCAATACTTTCTGTGTCAGCCATGTAATCTTTCAAAAAATTCACACGGCCACCCGAGCAGATTTCCCCCTTCTCGCTAAGGACTGCAAGACAGCTCATCTACCAGAGCTGAAGGACTGACACGTGTGAACTTGAGTGCTATTCCCCACACACCTATCACTTAGGGCAACTGCTGCCTTGAAGGAACAGAGCATCTCTCCTAATATATTACACTGTCATCACTCATAAGCAAAGCAGGAAAGCTCTGTCCTCCAAATGGACCAGATATCCAGAGCACTGGCACATAGCTGCTGCTACTTGTGAAAATGCAACTGTGGTGCAATGAAATTACATGGTATTTTAGAATAGTATACTGATATCCCTACTTGGCAAGACAAAGGGAACATAAAGGGCATGCCCCTGGAGACACGGCTACTACCACATGAAGTACCTCCTTGCATCCTGAGGAACATCAACTTGATTGTAGCAAAGGTGCAGAATAAAAAAACATACATAAAGTACAGAAAAGATCAATATGAGGTATCAGAGTTCTCACATGCCCTCGGAGAGGGACACTTTCATAAAGTAGTTGCCCAAGTGGTGAAGGCACTAAGTTAAGGATAAAGTATCCTGGAACCCTGCAACAAGAGAACTCTTACCATCTCAGAAATGGTAATTGCTCTGTGATAATGAGTCAAGTTTTTTACTTCAGAACATTCACTTTAAGACCCAGGTGTTCAAGGATGGACTGCACTGTTTGCAGGGACTGGTCTTTTGTAGGATCCCCTAGAAACAACCAAATCAAAGTAAGGAAGTGACAGTCCTCGGTTGAGGACTCTTGCCTAGCAAACACCATCAGCAACTTGAAGATAACCTAAGAAACTTCAGACAGGTTGAGAAGTCCTAAAACCACCAGACACCTTGTCTGAGAGCAAAGAAGTAGTGATGATGGAATGGAGTTACTGCCAGGTGAAAATATGCACCTCAGAGAAAGAAATGAAAGAGCAAGATGAATGCTGAGAATGTTCATTTTCCTTTAGGACTGATACTTCTTAGCAATTCTCAGCAGTAACTGGAAGCAAGGGCTGTCCAAAGTGATCTCATGGGTGCAGAATGGCCTTATTAACAACGCAACACCTGTGATACCCATCAACCTATACCATGGTTCTTCCTTATTTGGAGAACTGTAAAAGTATCTATTAAATTAAATCCTCCAAAGATAACAATGCTGCTTGCTATAAGTCACAAGTCCTAACGTGATCCAGATGCAATGTGTTGACAGAGGAAAACAAGTGCCAAGTAAAGGGAGATCTCTTGAAGGAGGAGTGAAGCTGCACTTTCAAGAGCAATGTACACCTGAAGGTTTTCCCTGGCTTGTGTCCAAAAAGAGTATTTTTTCCCATTCTTCATCACCCCGTGGAAGAGACCCAGAGCTGAGGGACTACAGCTCTTTGACTAGAGTTGCAGAGTAGGTGGCAAGGACAATGACAGGGGAAGATGAGGAGCGAAAACTCACTTTGTTAAGGAAACAACCAGGTGCTAGACCTAGATACAGGTGATGCATAATCTTAAACACACTGAAACATGCTGGGAACAGTGGACAGCTGTTCAGGAACAGAGGCCAGCCTGCAAATAGCTAGAGGAAGCATGGGGCTGCCAGCTGAACAGCTACACCAGAAGAAGGTGGTGACACATGCTGACAGCATTTTGCTGTGGCTCTGAGTCAGCAAGTGCTGAGGCATTCAACTTTTCTCATCTGAAGTGCTCCCAGAGCAACTGTACAGACTAGATGCATTTCAGCTTTACCTCTCTGAGGAGAGGGGAACCAAGTGACTTCTCCTCAAGGCAAACATTCAACTTTTCTCTGTTTGGCTCAGTGCTGGAGGCTGGTGCCAATGCCGAGAATAACACAGAGCGGTCCAAGCTGACTAACAGAGTGGCACCCTGGAGCAGGCTTGCTGACCTTATCAAATAGAAAAGACTGAATTCTCAACTTCAGCTGTTTATCTCTTCCTCTCTCAGCTTTAAGAGACTGGCAAATGCTCTGTTAAAGGTGTAACATTTTTCTCCAGGACACTAAAGAAACCCAAATAGTGGCTGGGGGAAGGTATTAAAAGTCCACAAAGTCCACCATGATGAAAGGCAGCATTAGAAGAAATCACTGATAGACAAAGATGAACTCCCATTCATCGTGTGATGCATGTATGCAGTGAACATATGCTCACACTGTATATCCTGAAGCCATAAGGCAAAAGAGGAGATAAGCTGAAAGAAAAAAAAAAAAAGCAGCAATCACTTTAGATGGAAAGACTTGATTTATCCTATAAAGCTAGAATTTCCCAAATTTCAAACAGAACTCAAAACGAAGTTAGCATTTTTCAGAAATCAAACTATACACAAGATACATGAGCCATGCAGTTTCAGCACAGCAAAACTACAGGGCTATTTCAGAAGCAGTGCTGGCCCACACACCTGTGAACAGCAGTCTTGAGAAGCCAACCAATGAACTCGGCAGGGGAACTGATTTGGATTAACTAGATGTTTTACTTGTTAGGGTTAATTTTCCACTGTTGTGTGACTATACAGATGCTCTGCTGGCATAAGGAATAAGGTGGCTTGGGACTGCTGCCATTAGCAGCCATGCTGGTTTAGGCCAGCTTAGTTAATGTGATGTAATGTGCAGTTTCACTGCAGTGTATTTTTCTTAGTTTAGGAAGATCAAAGCTAGGTTACTGTAAGCCTACCATGCATTAGTTTTTCATACTTGTAAAACAAATGATTTACACCAAGTCTAAATTTGTGATGAATTAGACCATACTGATGAAATGGGATGAACACCACAACCTGACATCCTGTAGCAGCATCCCGCTCAGGGTAAGTATCTACCACATCTGAGAAACCAGCCATTGGGTCTGCTCCATTTGTTCCTAGGCAATGGACTGAACAGATCTGAGAAACCATCTGACAGTCTTTCCTGGATTCCAGATGTCTCACAGAGGATGCTGAGACAAGTTCATATGCAAGAATATTTCTTGTTGGGGTCTGCAGCTGGTGGCATACATTGGCTCTAACAATGAAAGATACATCTGGCGGAAAATAAAAACAAAAGAGGAGAAAGAGAGAGAGAAGTAGGAAGGAAATAGGAAAACTCCCCCATAGCCAGCCAGGAAGAACAGTGACGAGGGTCCCAGACAAGGGATCTCCTCTGGGAGAGTCTCTTCAGTGTAGCAAGTGAAAATGATGAAGATGATGAGGATGACCGTTTTTCCTGTGCATCTCCTTGAGTACTATATACTTTTCATCAGGACCCGCCCAATCTCCCTACTGGTTATTCCTGCTTGGGACACTATTAGCACTAGTTGGAGCATGCTACTTCAGCATCAGTGTTACATATTGGTTGGCTCTTAAGTCTCAGTGCACATATATGGCCAAGCAGCATTTATTCAGAATTTAAGAGACTGCTATCTTTGTGTCCTATGTTTAGTCTTCTCCAGTATAAACTATTATCTGTAAAACAAGAGGTGAAGGAGAAGGGGAAAAGAGGGACTATTCTTATGCCAGCATCAACTGCTTGCCACTCCCTGCCATAATATCAGAGTTCACAAGTGTGAGACCATGAAATCAGAATAACAGCATGGGACCACAAGGGAAACTGCCACAGAAACTCTGGACAAACACTGCTACAGCAGCTTGCTTGAAAGGTTACACAGCTGCAGACAGCAGGCCCTCAGGATTACTGATGATAAGGCGTCTCAGGCATTGTGTAATGAAGTAAATGAACAAGACATGAAGGACAAGTTACTATTAACGCACTAGGCCTTCCATCTCAGCAGCAGAGTTTCACCAAATATGCAAATTCTATAAAGCACATAAGATGTCATTTCTGACTAAACATTCCCTGGAATTGTGTTGCTTATGAATAACACAGAAATCATGAAGCTTTTAACCATGCCAATGCTAAATTAATTTTCTTAATTCCCAAACTAAGATTCAGTTAACATTTGGAAGATAATTTCCCCTCATCTCATGGGTGTGTGCTATACCAAAGGGTGATACCACCTCCACCTTCCACAATACAGATTCCAAAAAAACAGCATCACCGACTATCACCATGCTATTAAACTTCTTGAACAAGCTGTCATTTAAGACCTTTTGGAGACCGCACGTCTCTCCCCTGATGAGTTCCTCCGTGCCCAAGGGAATCTGGTATTACCAGAAGGCAGAAGTACAGTAGGAAAAGGTCAAACTGCAGAGATTAGTGCTCAAGACTAACATACATATTTTGGGATAGGCTAAATAAAAAAACCCCTATACACTATTGTTACCTTACCACTCTATGTGATGTCTGATGTACATGTGGTGCATGTTGATAGATGGCTGGAATCGCAAACAGGTAAAGCACAGGTGCAAACACAGGCAAACACATATATACACACAGAGGACTTTAAAGCCTAGCTGGAAAGAAGGAAAGTGTCTTTTCTTAAAAGGTTCTCTTTTCTCCCAGCATGGCATTGAAACACACTAGACACGCTGCTCAAATGGGATTTGAATCTTACTGACCTCCAGTTTCCTTCGAGCCTCCTCCTGTTCTTGTTTCTCCCTGGCCATTCTTTGTGCTCTCTCAGCTTCTGCCTTCCTTCGGTCTTCCTGCTCTTTTTCCTTGGCTAGGTTTTCAAAGTTAGCTCGGATGCTGCTTGTTTTATTAGCAACTGTAACATTTAAAAAAATTTAAGTCAAATGTTGTTGTTTAAGGTTCTGTATAAAGGTAGCCTGGAATGAGGTTTTGGTACAAATTTCTGCTCTCTGAGCTCACAGCCCATTCAGGAAAGTCCTTCTATCCCTCCTCCTCCCCTTCCAAGCCCAAACCTCTTGTGCACCACATTTATTTAAAAACCTCTACAACACTTCTCCCCCCTCTCTGTCATGGTACAGTCTCCACCATGCCACTCCCCTACTCACTCTATTCTTTACTCTGATGCTTTTTATTCCCCCTTCCTCAACTCTGATGACCCTCAAGGAAAAAAAAACCAAAACCAAAAACCAACCACAAACCAAAACTACCTCTAAAGGGAGGGAGAGAGTAGTTGGGGTTGCTAGAGACCTGCAAATACACCAGTTCCTTGTAGATGATTCTTACTCATCACTACTACATTAACAGTAATATCCTGGGCTTTTGAACATTATCCAAAGAAATTATTTGGGGCCAATGCCCTACCAGCTTCTATTGGCTTGGTCTTCTGATAAGTTGATGCTGGTTTCTCAATATCTTCAAAGGTTGCTGCATTCTATCAATAAGGAGAAAAAAAAGTACATTTAAAAAACACAAATTCATGAAGGCATTCAGACAACTTTAATCTCTGCCATTTTATTGTGATATTGCCCCTCTGGCTTTTTTTTTTTTCAGAACACCAAAATGAAATCAGGAAGAATCAAAACCTGACAAATGGAATAATTCTTTAAGTCAAACTACGTAAGAATTAATCTTCAGGGACAGGTTTAAACACATTAAAATCCTATTAATTAAAAAAAAAAAAATCATTGTATGAACAGATGACTCATCAGAACTAAAAAATGAGGCAATGTCCAAAACATTTATTGTGTAGCTGTTGCTGTTCTAATCCACATTATGTGGGATTTCTACCAAGGTAAAAGCATCAGTCCCCTTAAGGAAGCAGATACTGTTAAAAAAGAGAGAGTATTTTGAGAACAGTATTCAAAATACAAGGGTTTTTTGAAATGAATGGTCTTGAGTCATCCTGAAGCCACAAGTTAAAAAAAAAAAAAAAAAATCCTACAGACTTTCAAACTCGCTACTTTCTCACTCTTAAACATCCTACATAAAGCCGAGAGTAAATTTATTCAGTAGATAAATCTCAGTGAGGACTTTTTCATCTTTTATTTTTTTAAATTTAAAAATGGACAGGTAGAAAGGAGGTATCAGCTGCCCTGTCTTTCACTGTTACAGAATACTACAACAAATTCTCCTAAAGGGAAGGTCCCTGATAATCAAAGTGGGCAAAGTTGGTACATATCAGACACCCATTTTAAGCAGTCCACTAAAAGACATCCTCAAGATACAAGGCATTAGCTAGTTGTTAGAAGACAGGACTGAAATTGTGGAATTAATGGATTTTCTCATTCTTTCGTATAAATTTTGCTATTCATTTCCATGCTTCAGTTTTCCCTACGTAAACCTGTATATACACTACACATACGTACACACGTACATGTGTGTATAAACTGGCATCAGCTCTGTGTGTATAAACTTGCTTTTTAAAGATTTAGAAAGGCACAGAACTCTACTGTTAGACTGGAGAAGTGTCCAGATATAAAAGAGCTGAACACTACAGATCTACCCAGGCTATTTTGTATCCCTACAGACTATTTAAGTCATGGCTCTTTTAAGCAACTTACCTTATCCATCCGATCTTTCTGTACACCATACTTCCCACCAAATCCTTTCGAATAATCTAAAAACAGGATAAAAAGGTTAGAATAGGGAGTTTCTTGTCCCTCCCATCTTTCTGCCAAATGCAAAGAGCCATTTCAAATGCAAATAGCCATTTCAGCTGCATGCAGAGATACAGTGACAGCCGCCAAAGAAAATGCAACTTGGTTTTTTGATGCAGAAAGGATACATAACTGCAAGAGCCTTCAGGTACACCAGCAGATGACAGATTGTGGGCCACATGCATTCTTTGAGTAAACATTAAGCTGAGGATTGGTAAGGTATCAAGCAAGGAATAAGGGATGAGCCCTTCTAATGCATCACTTCTGTAACACAGCCTTTCACAGCACCAATTCTTAGCCCTCTGCAGTAATCATATAACCTAAGCCATTTTGCTTTGCTCAAAGGAGCGATATCCAGTCTTCGGTGACCACAGAGGTGTTTTTTTCTCTTTAACTTGGTAAATTCTATGAATGGCAGGAAAATATAACAAATTTCTCATTCCAGTGGATTTGGTCATGATACCCAACTGATGAACATTAAAGTAATTGGTAATAACCCCTGCTCTACACATGGAAAGGGGCAATTCCACAAGACAGCACAGCCCTGCAACAACTCACCACCACAGAAATGGGGTGAACATGCTGTTCCGTACCACCCCTGAGCTGCACACTCTTTCTCTCACCTGACGCTGACTCTAGCACTTGTTCTACTCCAAAATCAGTTTAACTCACTAGCGGCATTAACAAGAAAAACAACAGACCAACCCTGACAAGAGCAGCTTTCTGCTCTTTCTAGTGAGTTGTACTCAGAGAAATGTCTGACAAGCACCAGAGCCAGCGCGACAGAAGCAGCAAGAGTGTGTGGCTGGAAAAACACCTCTTTCTGGTGGCAGTGAGCTGTAGGAACGTGCCCTTAGACTCTGTAGACGGACAGGCTTTCCTATCAGTCCCTGGAATACAATTACTCCTTCTCCTCTCAGCCCCAAAAACACTTGGGTTCCCTAACCAGCTATTTTAGTGTTTGTACTTGGGCTCTGCTAAGGCATATCTGACACTAAAAGTTTGAATTTGTGTCACTGTAGCATAGGAAAATATTGACTATCAGAATGAACAACCTAATTTTCTTCAGCTTTGTATGTATTTTCAGCCAGAATAAATATACTACACTTACATTTTCCTGATCCAGACTTCTCACTTTAAGATAACGGAAAACCAGGAATTCATGGTTTGTACCCCAACTATTTCACAATGAATAAAGAGAGTATTATAACAGTATTTGCTCACCCAAGAACCACAAACATTCCCTACTTCTTGTTTTAAAGACTACAATCATTTTAAAATGATCTTGCCATAACCCATTGCTTGTTAATGGTTACATGCATGGTCCTTATCTGAATATTTTTCCACCAATTTATCCAGGCAAAACTTCACATTTAGAGTCTAAAACTGGTAAGCACGACGTCATTAACATCATACTACTAATAATGTTATTATTACACCGTATGTATAGCTATTAACTAAACGCATAATATTGTAGAGCTGCTAACTAAACATTGGATATCTGTTTCCTGAATACAGGCTCCCTTTATGTAACATTTTAAGAATAAAATGGAAGAACATTGCTAGATCATGTAGGAATAGAAGCGCAAGAAAGTGTCTGCACATTACTAGCATCAATCTACTCAGAAACTATTTAAGACTGTGTGAGAAGTGGCTGCACTGTTAAGAAAGTAACAAGTGAAAACGGTGCCTTGTTGAGATTCATGCTTGGCTAGTTTCTCCTTGTAATCAAACCCCACAGCAGATGGGTCCTGCCTTTCTGTCTGTACACCAAATTTCCCTCCGAAACCACTCTTATAGTCTGAAAAAGCCATATGTAATAAATTAAAATGGAGGAAAATAAAGAAGTTTAGTCAGAGACACTCAAAATAATTTTTGCAGTATTTCTCAATTACCAATAATTTTGGATGGTGAACAAAAATATCTCAATACACTTTCGATAAGACTAAATTCAAAAGATGTTGCCACTCGAGATTAAAAAGAGGTCAACATGATTTATCAGACATAAGAACACCATTCTGAAGTCACAGAAAAAAGCACTTCTCAACATCTTTCATACATACTGCATAATGCACTTGCATTTGATCAACTTTATGAACACAAACACACGCATAATATGTTCACCAAAACAAAACAACATACAAAGGGATACAAGAGAATAAACTGAGCTCCTTCATCAGTGTGGTTAACATTTGTACACTAGAGATCTGACTTTTAAAGAGGTGTTAAGACAGGGTCCACAGAGACTATCCTCCAGATATTCCTGCACAGTACTGTTTAAAGGAAGAAGGAATAGTCCTGCTGCCGCACAACTTGAGGAAAAGAAGCTCTCAGCTAAGAACTATGATCATTCCCTACAGCTGCCTTAGAACAGCCATTTGAATATATCGTATAAAATGAGGGCAGAAAAAAAAAAAAAAAAAAAAAAAAACTTCCAGTAATCCTCTCACAACAAATCTGCCGGAGCATCCAACAGAACAATATTCTGAGGACCGCTTTTAATTTCTTTAATTAAAAAAAGAAAAAAATAATTAACTTAATTTCTTTAAGTTAAGAGTGGTGACAGGCAGAGGGCTGGGGAGCAATCGTTATTTTGCAACTTTTCTTCTGGGTACCAGTATTTCATAGGAATAGGTACCTCACAGGCAATGAGAAAGGACAGCATTAGAAATTAGATTTCCCCTGCATGAAAATAGGGTTATACTTAACAGAAACCAGAAAAAGGAGATTATTTGTGGAAAGTACAAAGAAATTGCTATTTTGTGGTCTGCACAACTCAACTGAAAAAGCAAAAAAATAATCCAGGCTACCTGCAGACTCATAAAGCTTCTTCAGTAAGAACTTACCACTAAGTCTGAACTTTCAGGTACTCGGTATCAGATGTGTTAAACCTGCTTTGCAGACACCAGTACAACCAATACACAGCAACCATTCAAACACAGAAAAAGGAGACTCATGTCAGCTACTATAAGGCTGTGGCCTAAGATACTGGGGAGGAGGGTTCACACAGGGAAGAGAAAAGTCAAAAGGAGGGAAGTCAGAAAGAATGGCAAAGAATTGTGAACTGATATACCTTTCTGGGATTCGTGCAGCTGCACTTTCTCCTGGTGATCCCAGCCAAGTGCACATTTGTCTTGTCTGTCTGTCTGCACACCAAATTTGCCTCCAAACCCCTTTACATAATCTGTATCATGAAGTTTCAGAAAACATTATTGCAGTTTATGACTGTAAGCAGTACTTAACAAAAAAACAGTAACATGTTATGGGATAAGCTGCCCTGTCATTAACGATACTATCTTTCACTCTTTTTTTCCCTTGTTACACTACTTCAACAGAGGGGAAGGATACTGATTCAGTAACTCTAGGATCATGATGCAAGGAAGCATCACAAATCCAGTGAAGGTTACAGCATACAGACTCAATAATATTCAAAGATTTGAAGAATCTGATGCACTTTCAACCTAAAGCCATATAACACACACAAATATATGCGCAACATAGATATATAAATAATGAAGGACTTGATACTGCCTCTGAATACCATAGATCTGTGCAATTACACATTTATTTCAATAACATCCATAAGGACAGAAGGCCCCTTGGAAATCAGATTGTGAAACTCGGGGATAGTTTACAATGCCTTCTGTTTCTTTAAGGGAAACAAAAATCTGCATACACAAAGGGCAAACACACATTTACCACAAAAAAAACCCAAAACCAAACAATTTTTTTTCTTCCCAGGTTTAAAAGGCTGATTGATTTGAACTAGTATTTTTAAATAAGATAATAAAAACCTTTCTGTGATTCATGTTTTTCCGTTTTGCCTTGATATTCAAAGCCAACAGCACTTTTGTCCACTTTGTCCTTGTCAACACCATATTTACCACCAAAGCCCTTGGAATAATCTAGAGATAAGAGTGAAGAATTTTGTTTGTAAGTGTTCAATAACAAAATATTACCTTGAAAAATTTTGACCTGCTAACGTTACATTGCATATTAAAAGCAGCACTGACATCCCTGATTAATCTTGATACCAGACACTGAAGTCATAAATTCTTCAGAATACATTCTCTCAGGATGGAAAATAAAATAGCATCGTATGTAGTTCAACTGCTGGGCAATATCAGCAATTCTGCTACTTGACTCCTTGATAAAATTCTTGAGACACTTAGAGCAAAGTGAACTTCAAAAACCATGTCAGCAACAGCCTGGATGCTTTTAAACAAACACCCCCTTTTTCTCTTCAGCATTTCTAGAGTGCAAACATTTCTTTGAGATAAACAGAAAACAGATGGCAAAAATGTCAAAATTTTTCAATAAAATGGTCGATTTTTGATCAGATATGCCTGGAAACCTGACTAGCAACACAATATTAACTCTAAACACTACTAACTCTGATAAATGTTTTAATCTACAAACAGCTGATTCTTCCAGAAATACTTCTCTGTTGTGGTTAAACTGCTTACAGTCTCAGTACTTTAATCTACAGCTTTTCAAAAGAAGTTGCAAAAAACCTCCAGAAAAACCTACGTGCCCTGCTTCCAAAGTAATGGCAGTTGGATCATCACTTAAAACCAGTCAGAACCTATGTTTTAGGTTTCTTTTTCAGAAGTCAAAGTTTTCAGCAACATAAATTTTATTCAGTGTTAACTTTCAGCAGGTTAGAAGTGCAACAGATGTAAAAAATTAGTATTTTACAGTACTGCCTATCTTGAATGCCTACTACATCAGAGTACAAACTCACCAACACGTGTGTCTACTCACCCTTCTGTGACTCATGTTTCTCAGTTTTACCCTGGTAATCAAACCCCACCGCACTCTTGTCCACTCTGTCAGCCTGTACTCCATATTTTCCACCAAAACCACTTGAGTAGTCTGCATTGAGAGTAAAGCACAATAAAAATGAAATGAAGAAGCTTTTAATGGAAACATCCTATCCTAGCAATTGAGGGGGGGAGGGAAGTTATTTCAGAACTGAAATACTACTCTTTAGCAAACAAAATTAAGTTTAATTTTAAACACAGAAAATAAGACAGGCAACAGTCCCATAGTTTATGATGGTTCCTCTTAAATCTACTCCTGATTTCCAACAGGGTGCAAAACAGCAAAAAACAACTCCCACTCTTTCTAAAATGTCCCTGAACCTCACCTTTAAAAGAAAAGTAAGACTCACAGTGACACTCATGAAATTGCTTTGAAATTCATTTTTTCATCTTCTCTTCCACCCAAACCCCTCAACACTTGATTCAATGAGAATGTCATGTGGAGGCCTCACTAAACAAGGTCTTTTACAAACAGTAAAAGAATAGAGATCTGTTCTATTATTTATAAAAATGTGTGTCTATAGAGGCAACCACCTCACCACTTTACCTTTTTGGGAGGCATGCTTCTCAGTTTTCCCCTGATATTCAAACCCAACAGCTGACTGGAAGAGAAATAAAAATGCATGGGTGACAAAGAGCTAGATATTAGTAGAAAAACTGTGTGCACTTCAGCGGACAAACAGCAAGGGAAGTTCCTGTGTCTTTCCATACTGCGCTGACCTTCTCAATCAGGAGCATAAATACCTACTTAACTTACAGGCCATATTCATTTACATGGGAATTTAGTACATGTATTCATAGTAAGGGTTTTGTCATCCCTTGCCAAAGCAAATTGTACCAGCAACATACTCTAGTCTTGCCAGGTTCAGCAATTCAGTACAACAGAAATTTAGCATTTCCATGCAGGGGTTGTTACACACTCTTGGAACAGGACACGAATTATCCTGCCCAGTAGCTCATGTTGTGGTACAGGACAAACCATCCCCAAACCCCTCCTTCTGTAGCATTCACGCTGATTTTATCCTCATCACAGAGCACAGCCTGGCTAAAAGGCAGATTTTAACACCCCTCTTCAGTTTTCTTTTCAACTCATCTCAATTGCCCATAAGGGCTTTTTTCTATTTTGCTTTAAATAGAAATTTATCTCCGTAACAGTCAGTGTTAGTTTACTGCTAAACTTCAAATACAGCAGGAAGAGCAGACCACACCAGCATTTTAAGGTATTGGAATTTCTCAGTTGTACATACAAAACTCAACTACTATGAGTAGCTGCAGTACGAGATGAAATTGCTTACCTGGTCAACTCTATCGGTTTGTACTCCAAACTTGCCACCAAACCCTTTCACTGAATCCACTTGGGAGCAATGCTTAGAAAGTTTGGATTGATATTCATGTCCAACAGCTGACTAAAAGAAATTGGAAAATTCAGAAACAGCCAGCAGTTCTATACAGTTCTGCATGTAAGAGAAAACACTACACCAAGTAACTTGAGGATAAGCTTTGTTACAAACACACATCACCACCACTCCTCCTGTTGAAACTAACTTCCCTGGAAATTGCTGCTCCCTTGAGAAGTCTTTACAAGACTGTCGCCATGCTACCAATACAGCCTAGGCAAGGGAAGTGCCAAGAAAGAGTCTGACAGCAATGACTGTATTACACTCTGGATTTTTACTTGAAAAACACAGGAATGAAAACAAGAAGGATATAGACAGTCTTGATGGTGTTCATGCAGAATTTAAAATAAGGATTAGTTCCAGATAAAATACACAGCCTTGTATTTAGGTACATAGCTACAGATCTGTTTTAGCTAATATTAGACTGCAACCAAATACAACTACAGCTAGGTTTTCCATTGACATTCTTTTAGGGACGCACCCTGATCTTCTGCATAAATCAAAATCAGGCATCTTCTCTCTATACTTTCTCCTCGCTGGCAAAACGGCATCACAACATGAAGCAGTGCATCCATATCAAGACAGAGCTCCCCATGCCAAAGGCATCCCAGCCCTGCAGTCTCCAATTTGACCCTGTCCCTGGAAATCAAGCTGAACACAGCAAACCAAGGCGCAGTTACATCGCACTGTCACTGGCTTCAGGTAAGACACAAGAATATGTAATTACACACCTGAAAGTACATCCAGATAGCATTTGCTAGTGTTACAGTAATCTAGTGCTAGAACACCATTCTAGATCCTGGAATTGATGCTAGAGCCTAGCACCCTGAGGGGTGCTACATAACATAACACAAATGGTTTTTTCTTGTCCAGTGCCAAAACTGAGCACTGGCCAGAACAACTTGCAATTTGCCACTTTAATCTAACATTTGAGTCTGTTGCTCAAACGCATACAACTCCTCCCAGAGGCAGAAAGACCCTATAACCTGCTGCACACAGCCGTGTCCAGACCGAGAGGCTGCACCCTGTGATAAGCACCCCTCCTGACTCGGCACGGCCAGCTCCAGCACTGGTCCCTGTGCACGGGGCACTCGGCATCTGCGGCTGCAGCAGCGCGCCCTCCAAGCAGCTGCCCCAAGCTCCCACCTTTGAGGAATGACAAACTGCTTCTCTTGTACCAGTATCAGACAGCTGGACCAAGGTGGATTAAGTTGAGGACACAAGGCATCTAGAAACCATAAGTAACTTGGCTTTTACAGCATCTGCCTTTTTTTTTTTTTTTTTTTTTTTAACACAGGTGCTTGGGGGAACATTCCCAGCACTCAGGAAAGCAAAACATTACTGCACATAATGGCTGAAGTAACTGTCAGGTAACAGAACGAGGATGTCAATAATAGGACACTACCTTAACTTATAAGCAATATAAAAGCTCCTTTCTTTTCCTGACTGAAACAGTCATACTCTTGTTCATTTTGCAGGTGTTCTGTAGCAGAATAAACTGTTAAATGTGATGGAAAAGGCTCCCACTTCCCTTTCTTCTTCCTGTTACCTATTACATTTATGGAAGACATGAAGCTTTGAAAATTCTAGGGTTTATGTGCTTTTACATGATCTCTCTTCTGCTATACCAATTGAGGTAGGTAAGGTTTAAGCATGCTGTTTTCTTTATGTGGTACCAGAACTTTCTGCATTTCATCAAATATCAAGCATTACAACATACCCCTTTTTAGAAAAGACTTAGAAAAAGATTTTTCTTGGAAATCTGTATTTCAGAGTAAATTGCCCTCATAGTTCCTCAGCACAATACTCTGTCACATTTTAAATTAGTTATGTAGGTCTGGCATATAAAATGATGTAACTGTTCATTTTAAGTCAGCATCAAGGTTTTGTCCTAAATGCAGCAAAAACCTGTACCATGACAACGCTGCAGTGACACTCATTTACTTCAGGTGAGTCAAGCCTTAATACTAGCACACCTGCGCAGAGCCACAAATACCTGTGGAGGAGAGATCTCAATGATAAGGTTTTAGAACTATAATTATAAGGAAGAAAGCTTTATTAAAAAAATAAATTATGAACATCTTGGGCTACCAGTATCACTCAGATGGGCATGACCATCATGTTTTTCCTGATGATTAATTCTGGCCTACAGGAAACAGTACTCACTTTTTTTTTTTCGTCTCTTTTTTCCCATGGACACAGGTGAGGGATAAACTGCTGACAAGAGAGAGCTACGCAGCTGCAGACCAGGCCTAATGGTTGAATCTGCTCAGCAATTCCTTTCCCAGATTCAAAGGTTAGGTTAGCCTATTTCAAGGCCCATTGAGAATTATACAGCAATTTACTCTGGAAGATGGAAATCCAGCAAAAATTTAAGGCTGCCAAATTACTAGAAACCCAGAAAGTAAAGAAAGTAAGAAAATAAAATCATTCTTATTCAGGAAACAGTTTGGCTCTTATTTGAACAGAGTAAATGAAAGAAACTAGCCAGAAGTTCGTATGCCTAATTATCACATGGCTAATGGAATTACCTTAAGAATTATCATTTATTTCGTTAATAGTGTAACTTAAAACAGCCATCAAGTCCTTATGTAAAACACTACCATCTGACTGAAGTACAATGATTTTTTAAATACCTGGATTACTTGTCACTGTTCATAGTTCACCACTGTTTAAGAGAGCTGCCCTCTAATTTAAAAGCAGCAGCACACCCTTTTTTTCATTCTTTGGCAACCTCTATAGACATAGAAGAGCTGGTACAGCATTGAAATAAAAAAAAAATACTGGATTTATTCATGTATGAAGTACTTCGTTAATTTAGAAATATACGTTTAGAAACTTGAATCTTGACTCCAGGGGAATCCACTCAGGACATAAGCATGCAGACTTGCTCTAAAGACAGAGCAAGCATCAAACAAAAACATGTGGGGCCACTGCACATCCCAGAACTTCTTCTCATCATTTACGGATTCCAATTTTGCCACCTGAAACACTTGCTCCTGATTCTTCAAGTGCTTTAGTTCAGTTTTTTCTGTAGGAGCATCTTGATTTAATTAGGGAACAGAGCACAATGGACTGACAGATTTGGGTAGTAGTGGTCACAAGTGTCCTTGTTAAAGCACTGTAAGAGTGATGCTTCTGCCCTCAAAATAAGCCACTGCTGTACATAGCTTATGCCATGATCTGAGCTTCTTGGTGTCCGAACCTAGCAAAGTTGTTCCAACTTTGCACCTTTGAGAAGCTTAACTTGCACATACAGTTGTGCTGGCCAGAGGCAAGGCAAGGCAAGGCAGGGCACGGCTTATAATATCATCCCAGGGAAGCATTCATACTTACTTTATCCATGCGATCTTGTTCAACACCAAATTTCCCTCCATAGCCATGGGAAGCTTTTGGTCCCGTTTCAAGCTCCTTCTCTTTAAGGTTCTGGTGTTCTTGGAATACGTTTTCTCTCAGCTGATGAATACTTCAAAGACAGATAATTAAGCAGCAAGTTTTACTACGAAATTTTCAGACAATAACTTCAAAAAGATGCAAAATAAAAACATGATAAAAATACCATCTTAATTAAAAGTTGGACAACTTGTATTTTTCAAGCCCTTCCTGTTTTTTCAGTGCACAAAGCACTTCATCCTATTCTGAGAAACAGAATTTATTCCACTGCGAAACACTGTCTAAAATTAAAAAAAAAAAAAGTGTTGGTTTTAAGACTAACATGGAAGGGTATTTTGCTATCTGAACAATCAAATACCTAGAATTTACACGTGCCTGAAACATATTTTCTTCTCATGTCCTAATTTAAGTTCTTTCCAATGCTTTCTATTTAGATGGCAAGTTTTCAGAATAGGGATCATCTCTTATCATACAGTCCCTATGGTAACAGGACTCTAATTCTAACTGAGCATTCTGGACACAACCGTAATGCAAGATAAGGATGCAAGAAGACATGCACCTCCTCTTCCCCAAGCGTTCCCTTGCAATATGCAGAGATTGAATTTACAGTAGTCCAGGCCACATAGAAGAAGGATAAACTAAAATGGTAATCTGTACCTTAGAACACTTCCCACCTGAGTTTAAAGCTTCCTCAGGCGTAATTCAGCCAGTAGGCGTCCCCACTGCACTCCAAATAGGGCAGAATAAAATTGATCCCTGAAGTAAGCCACATAGTTCAGTCTCTCTCTGTTTGCAACACGGATGACATTTATTCTTAGCTTTATACCACGAGGGTTGATGCCCCAGAAATACACAAGCAAGACCGAAACAAACATCACAATCACAGACTTCCTAAAACTACTTTAAAGTCAAGTCTTAGGCACTTCTCATAACAAGTACAAGACTCAGAAGACGGATCGTTTCTGTCTCACATAGCCCTTCGTGACGTGTTCATTTGCTTTTCTGCCAGGGAGCTCGATTTGTTCCTTTGCCTGAATTTTTATGAGCTTGGTAGCAGTTTTCTAAACAAAGCCTAAGAATTAAGGGACCAAAGGTATCTTTAAAGTACCAAACTGGAGCTGCTCAGATCACCCAACACAAACTTCTCCCCTGGCAGTATTGGCTCTTGCATCAAAACAGAACAAAGAAACTTTCCAGACACAAAGAGGCAGGAAAAGTAACAGTTCCAGTTACAAAGAAAGATTTAAGAGTCCCTACACCATAGTTCTGATCTTAATTTTAGATCTGAAGATGCTGACATATTTGAAAGACCAGCAATCTGGCAAATAATCAATCTTCTACAGACACTCTTGTTTTAATTATGAAGATACAAGTAACCGAGAGCATGAGTTGATTAAGTCACCTGGGATTGTGACTATTAATAAATTTAAAAGAGAGCTGCTTTACTTGATGTGCTCTTGATGGCCGGATCCTTTCACAGTTTTAGCTCCCCAGCGCTGCTCTTTCTCACTCACATCGTTCTGTGAAGGACACACACAAAAAGAGTTAAAAACCCAAAGATTTCACTAGTTATTTGCACTTTACAGTTCACAGCAAAACCCTTCAGCAGTTGGCGAGGTCAGAAGTTAGAAAAGCAGTTAATACCACCCTCGCTTCTCTTCTGCTGTGAGCCCTGTGCTTTGTCCCCTGCTGAAATGCACAGAGCACACGTTCAGCCCCAAGAGGCTTCTGCTTCTTGATGCAAATCTCTTCCATACAACTTCCCTGCAGTACCCAGCCAAGACAAGGTAGTTTTGTTTGTCACTCACAGGCACAGAACACTTAATTCTCTCTCCTTCCAGGAATACGCTCCTATCAGTTTATTTTGCTGAGATATAGCCCCTGTCCTGAAGAATTACTCTTTAACATGTTACGTAAGACACTTCTGCCAAATCGGTAAAATTCAAAAGCCATACCACAAAATCAGGATCTGTCTCCCAGTCATCGGCTCCGTCATCCTGACTGACAGAAATGGTGTGGCCTGCAGTAGCCTTCCACATCTGCAACACCATCAGAAGAAGCACTGTCACACTCCAGTTACATGTCAACTCATTTTATATTATGTATAAGCTGAGGGAGACAGAATTCAAAATTCCCAATACAGTATGTTATTTAACCACATAAACAGAAGCTATATTTGCAGTGAAAGCAGATTTGACCATTGGCTCTCAGGCTGTCTTCTCGAGCTGGTTTGAAAACCCCTTTTAGTTTTCTTATTGGCACTGCAAAAAGGTTAGGAGCAATCGCTGACACGATTTCAAAGAGAACAAGGAAGTCTTTCCTTGCCCAAATTAATATCTGTCTTTTCTTCATTCGCTGCACTAAAAGACTTCTCTTCAAACAGGTCTCCAAACCAAAATCCACTTCCGAAGACTGTTGCTAATTCTAGATTCAATGCATATATTTAAGGCATAGGAATGGTTGTTTTTTTCCCAGCTGTTACTAATGATGAGCATAATATTGTTTATTTGGCAGCATAACCTACGTGTTTCCTCTGTTGTGCAATGAGTTTCAGCATTATGAAAGAAATCCAAACAACTGGAAGAATTTGCATGCAATCTAGACATTAGTCCACCTGCCTGCAACAACAGAGTACAAGAGCTACTGCGTTTCTCAGATAATCGCTTCTTAAATATGTAAGCAAACTCAAGTATCTTGTCTGACTTTCAGGAGAAACGGAGGATGAGTGCTGGAGTACTGACAGCAGGAAGCAAAACTCATAAAAAGGGAAGCAATAACATCTAGAAACAACATTCAACACTTTTAAGTGGCTAATGATTTTGGGCATCTCACTTTCTGGAAACCTTATTCCCTGTGGAGTATCAAGTCGGACACTTTTAATTAACACTTTGGAACGTGACTAGTGAGCAGAATACCTGACCTGCCTGGTGATAGTGGCTGTATTTTATACCCTTTATTCTAGGCAAATCAAAACAAATAAATTCTAAAAAGCAAAACAAAAACAACAAAAAAAGTTTTCTGCTCTCCCAGCTTTTTCAGGTACACGAGTCACAGGAAGGACTTATTTTGTTCATCACTAACAAACACATCATTAACACACCATCATTCTGTCCGCTTACCTTTATATTTCTAATTAAGGATAGATTATAAGGATGATTATTATCATGGACTATTTCATTCACACAAGCATAATCCAGTAGGCGGAACGAAAGCTCCCTTTTAAATGAGTAACTAATAACCCATAGGTAAAATGCACAGAAGAAAAAAAAACACTGCTTGCTCTACAGCCTGACGGAATAAGCTGATGAGCCAGTTTTACAGAACGTTTCAGAAATTTCCGGACTAGTAACAAGAATGAGAGCAACTGAAAAATTGATTGTCAAACACCAAGGTAGCAAATGACAGAGTGGCCTAGAAGGAGGGTGTAAGAGCAGAGCAGATGACATCCTGACAAAGTAGTAGAACGCTTCCCCTTCTGCTTCTTAGGTCCCCCATCTCCAAATTCCTATGGCAATTAAGGAACTACCATTTATTAAATTACTTAATATCCAGAGAACTTATCAGACTACATATTTATAATAAAAACTACTGGAAAGCAGAACCAAACCAGCTCAACAATGAAACTCAACGTGGGGTCCAAGTTCTAACTTTGTAACCAAACAAAAACCCACAGTCATTCCTAAGAGGGACAGCTTGTATCCCTCCCTCCGTGCTCCACCACGCTGCGTGCTGTGCGAGTCTTTTAGAAATGGAATTCAGGTGACAAGAGCTGAAGTGCAGGCATACATGCACATGGTTACTCTATATATTTCATGCAAAACACAGCTTTTTTTCTCCAAGTACTTGGTTCGTACATTCACTTGACTGTTTTGTTTTGCTTTGTAGATTCAGCTGTGCTAGGACATTTAAAAGAACAAACTCTAGATCCTTAAGTCCAGATTTCTTTGCTTCCTCCTCAAACTCTCACAAATGATAATGAAGGAAAAAGGGATTTCACATGCACACCGTTACAAAACCCAGAATCCACCACGTTTCTTCCTAAATTACGCACATAAATGCCAACATCCTTCCACGTCTCAACGCTGCATTCTATAAAGCGAATTACAAAAGGGACCAAAGCAGCCTAGTAACAAGGGACCTCAGTCAAGACCTCCGATCGCTGGTGGGGAGCAAACAGGAATAAGCCTGGTTTCCGCAGCAGCTTGTTATTCTAGCATCTCTTCCAAAGCAGAATGTGGAGAAATATGATCTATTTGTGAGTCACTCACTCACATGGTCAAATTTCTTAAGGAAAAAAGAAAATGCTACGGTTCAAATGCAAACTGAGGCTAAATATATGCTTTGAATTTAGCCGGCCAGCTTTGCTCTTCACGGCTGTTATGACTAATCAGCAGTCACAGCATCCTACCCAGCACCTTTAGCGGCACCCTGGGGAAGTCCCCTCTTCCCCAGGCCCTACGGACAAACTCCTGGAAGGAACAAAGAGGGATGCCAAGGCTTCAGACCCAGTCGCAGCACTGTGGGCAAAGGGAACCGAGGCAGCAGCTCTAGGCCAACGCCAAGGCTCGACGGCAGTCCCAGGCGCTCATCCCGGCCCTGGCTACCTGCTGGGGACCCGTGGTCGCCCCGGCAGCTTGCCGTCCCCCCTTGGCAGCACCCTGAGGGCAACCGGGGGAAAAGGGCGTTGAGGGAGACTCCTGTCTTCTCCGAGGGGGTGAGGGTGATCTCAAGCCCGACCTTCGGAGGCCATGGCGCGGCTCACCCCGATCTCCCCTCACCGCCACTGCCTTCTCCCAGCCCCCCCGGAGTCCTACAGCAGAAGCTTTTTCTTCTTTCAAGTTACCAGCTCTAGGGCCTTTGAGCTACGGGCAGCTTCAGAGAGTTTAAAATAAAAAAATAAAAAAAAAATTTAAGAAAGAGTGAGTCAACGTAAAAGCTCGGCCTTTCACCAGCCCACCGGGGAGGGCAGCGCCCTCCGGCCCCCTCACAGAGCTCGGCGGGAAGAGAGGGGCCGGGGCTTGAAGCCCTTCACCCCACACGGCGGACGGGCCTGCGGGTAGAGCCCCCCCACTCCCCC